GGCTGGGTGCTGAACGAACCCGATTTTGTAGCAATACTTTACACTTTGAAGGTACAAAACGCATACCGAACATGGTTACACTAGCACTCTATAAAGACTTGTAACTTACCTGGATCTTCACTTAGTAGCATAATGCAATCTACAAATTCTAGATCAGACAGCCTGTCACCTGGGAGTAAATCGATGCCACTATCCTCGCACGAGGGTAGGTCTGCTTCAAGAATTAAATCTATGACAAAGTTGAATAAAAACGGAGAGAGAGAGAGCAACCCTGTCGAACACAATTTTTCGTTTTCGGTTAAAAACGTGCCGTAAGCTCGGACTCGACTTCGGCTATTAATATAAAGAGATCGTAATATTGAAATAAACTTCTCGAGCACACCCTTCAGAGAAATGTGGCGCCAGATTTTAGAGCGGTCGGCTGAGTCGAAAGCCGCTTTCAAATGGAGGAAGACAGAGATGGTGGGTCCATAAAAAGTGTCTGTGTTCCAGGATTCGACGAAGAGTAAAGATGTGGTCGATACAACCTCGATCACGTCTAAAACCATTCTGATTCTCACCCATGCACCGTTCACGTGCGGCAGATAATCCACGGAGTATGATACCGGCGAGAAGTTTAGAGTCAATGTTGATCAAGCTAAATCCTCCGTGGTTTTCACAAGAGATTCTGTCACCTTTCTTGTAAATCGGTGTGATCACCGATTCACCGGTGACAGCCACTGAACCACTCACTTAGAGAATCGCAGCATGGCGGGTTATTAAAGAATCTGTCGCAAGTCACAAATTAATTTGCCTAATGCTCTCTTCGCGCCCCCAAATTTGTGTCGCGGCCTATTTAGCACATTCAATAATTCCAGCATTAAACAGGAAACAGTTAAAATGTAAAATGGTAGATAACCAGAATAACAAACCTTTTGTTTCACTGTACACTTTTTGATATTTTGTTGTGTTTTTTTTAAGGGGCACGGGATTTCGACAGGCAGACCGCACAGCATTCGCGCCGCGGACTTCTATTCAGGGTCATATCTCTCAGCGTCTCTAACCAGCGACAACCCTCTGCCCTTGGGCCCCAACCTGGAAGGCGGGCTGCACCAACCAAAGCGAAAACTGAAGCCAGCTTCTTCATACCTCTACGCCATGTCATGGTTTGACAGCCGCGACGTTTCTTCCAACCTTGCCCAACACGTACGTGTACAGTGAGGTAGTCGATGGACAGGCTTACTCAACACGTGACCAAGCCATCGGAGGTGGTGTAGAGCAATTATTTCGGTTAGAGGACTACTATCCGCACCCAACACACGAGGATAAACCTCGCCATTACTCACCCGGTGTTCCCACCAGACACAAGCGATGCTTCCTAGAAATCGGTGGTCGAATACAGAGTTATTTATTAGCTTGTACCAGTGTCCATTTTGCCATGTCTCGTACGTCTGCATTAGGCTTAGATGAGAGTTTCCACAGAATTACGTGATTGCTTACTTTTTGGATAAGGTAAGATTGATTTTCATCTTATTTTGCCTGATTCTGTAAGCTTGATATCCACAAATACGGTGTGAAAAAGTTAAAAATTCGACACTGGATAAATACAACTAATACTGACTTGAAAAGCCTTTGAGCAGTGAACAACATAAAATTTATTAACAAAGGTGTGATGATGGGGCAAAACAGATCAATCAAAACCTAATCAGGCATATAAAGGATGATTTGGACAGAGCAAACTGAGCCAAGCCAGAGCTATCGGTCGCTAGAGTTTGAATACGAGACCTTTCAAAATAAACAATCTACCACATCGGTTCACTGCATCACCACCACCTGACTACAGACACATCATCGTAAAATAAATTGAGAACAGATAGCGCATGAGTAAGTAACACTCAGCAGCCTGTACTGGAAGGCATGACAACCATATCGCTAGAAGCAATCATTCGACCAGGTTTGCTCCCAATGGACCTGCAAAAACTAAGACCCCGGCTTTAAAACAAGAAGTAACCAGGCTGAGAACAAGATATTTTTAAACTGAGCAAAATTATTAGTTTCAGATGATTTTCAATTGTTTATTCAAGTTTTTCACATCAAACCATGATCACGACTTGTATAATTTTGAGGAAAATGACAACAAAAAGTTGAAAAACGCTGCAAGAACGGTAAACTGCTACCGATTCTAGCAGACTGTCCTGCTTATGAGGTATCTCTTCGACATCTGTTCGATCTCCATCACGATTCCTTCCGGTGGTTCCAAGGAGCTGAGGCCTTCATTAGGCTGGGGGTGGCGCAATGGTTTAGTCGCTGTCACCGGCGCGCTTTGGACCCTGTGGTCCGAGCCCCGCCACTGCCACCCGACTTTG